CCACAAAGTCCTGCACCTGCCACCAACTCTGCACTTCCACATCCACAAAGTCCTGCACCTGCCACGACATCTGCACTTCAAGGTCCACAAAGTCCTGCACCTGCCACCAACTCTGCACTTCCACATCCACAGAGTCCTGCACCTGCCACGAAATCTGCACTTCAAGGTCCACAAAAAGTCCTGCGCCTGCCACGAAATCTGCACTCCAAGGCCCACAAAGTCCTGCACCTGCCACCAACTCTGCACTTCAACGTCCACAAAGTCCTGCACCTGCCACGAAATCTGTACTTCAAGGTCCACAAAGGTCCTGCGCCTGCCACGAAATCTGCACTTCAACATCCACAAAGTCCTGCACCTGCCACGAAATGTGCATTGCAAGCTCCACAAAGTACTGCACCTGCCACGAAACACGAAAAACAAAAAAATCATGCAAAAAAACAAAAATCATAAATTAAATCCGAGCTCCAAATATAGTCTGTGGACCTCTAGGGTTGTGCTTGGGACGATATTGAACTCTTGGGTTCTCTCATGTTGGTCCGCTGATGCTAAGCTTCATGATGGGGATGTCCTGTGCACGCACTAAATAGAAGAATGAGGTGGCATCCTCCTCACATAACTCCTCAACAGTTTAGTCAGCATTACCAGCGCCCTCCAACAGGTCTCCTCAAGAAGAAGGTTACGTTACACGCATAGTGATAGAAGCAGAGCTTTGATTAGTGTCGAGTGGTGCATCGGAGTTTTGAGGGTCGCCCTTTTTGTTAAAGGTCGCTTGCAAACATGCTTGAGCGGTGAGGTCATTACTGGAAAGACGAGGAGAGGGGAAAATAGCATAATGACAAAAAAGTCAACGCATATTGAAACCAACCAACCAAGAAGAGACAACAGATAAATAACGCAGGGAAAATACGACGTCAAGGTTGCTGGGCATCAATATCTGCAAAAGGATACTTCCAGAAGATGAGCCGGTCAACCCTTGATCATTTATTGCGTGATCTTTTGATTTTCAACGAAAATGAGGGAACTACATCCGCCCAATCCTCACTTAGAAATCATCATGGGTTCTGAAGCTTGTGAACCTGAGGGGCCCTAAGCCTCAAAGGTTTTCCGGGTCCAAACATGCTTTTTTGGTCCAACAGGAGTGTTGCTCCCGGTGCGGCACAGCTGCCGACTTGCTGAAACAGCCTGGTGCTGCACAGGCAATACGAGGCTACTGTTCACTTTTTGGGCTGCGCAGCAGTCTGTGCTTACCGGGCTGCACTTGCATGCAATTCTGTTGCCTTGTTGATCGCCTGCGGACCAGCGCATCTGCCATTGGCTCGAGCTTTGTGTTTTGTCCTTTTTGTGTTGCAACCTTTGAAGAATCTCCATCTTGGAGACAGCTGCACCAGTCCTGCAATTTTGCTGTCAAAGCACAGTTCTTTGTGACTTTTGGGTGCGCTGGTCAGCGCAATGTTGCTTCCAGCAGGCGTGCGAGTTCCTTTCCTGCGAGGTCGAGGTGATTGGACGTCTTGGCTTGCAGATTGAAAAGGCTGCTATGGCCGGGTGTACACACTATATCATTGTAACATCCTGCACAGTTGGAATTTTATTAGATCTTTTGTCAGCTCATAAGTTCTGGTCCGTGGAGCACAGCCAAGGCCATTTGCAGACAATGGTGCTCAAGGTGCCGTGGCAAGACGGCCCGATGGCAAGTCAGAATCAGTGGATTTAGTGCATGAATGCCGATCAGCCCCCCCTTGTTGATTAGCCCAGTTAGCTAATCTAAAGCTTTTTCCAGCTGGAGCCCTTTTCTATGCCCAATGTTTGAAGAGATGGTTGACGTAGAGGTAGGATGTTGATGGACAGTCATGGACCCGCCACAGGCAATTTGCAGGAAGAGCTTTTTAGCAGGTCTAGCCAAATATCATGCCCGTATGCCTGGCATGTATGTGTCTTGGCACCCTGCTGGGTCCGACACACACACACACAGCCCTGACCAACCAAAGTTCTTTGTCTTTGCTTTGCAGAACGAATATATACATGATAACTTGGAGCTTCTTGCCATGGCACCATACATAATCTGCAAGCACGGAGTTGCAAGACATCATACAACTTGTCGGGCTGGAAAAGAACCAGCGAAGCCTTGACTCCAACACGCAGTCGGTCCGATAATGGTCCAAGGATGACCCGAGACCATTTCCCGGCCCCACGTGGAAGGTCTTACTTTTTCCATTTTTTGTGGCAGGTTTGCGTCTCAAAACCCACGATTGTTTTTATCAACTATCTTTCCACCAGCGCATCCTTGAGCATTCTATGCAAGCAGATGCAAGCAGAGCCCGCGCGCGGCGGGCTGGGGTGAAGGACAAGTTTTCCGCTTGCTGCGTTTTTTGCTTCGTCCCAGGCTTTTGACTTGACAAATCGAGGAGCGAGGCTTTTGCAGCGCGCTGACAGCTGCCATGAGGGAGATCTCAGGGCACTTGCAAGAGGTGGCAGCAATGCCTCCACAATGCGCGCCCCTCCCACCACCGATGCAAGCCCCTCCACCACCAAGAGGGTAACCTCGCTTTCTTTTCAAGCAGGAATGCTTGAGGCGTTTCAGAACATGAAAGGGACTGAGGGCTTCTTCACTAAGTGCAGAGGAGCTACAGCCAGTGGCTGGCCACATTGTCTCTTTGCCAGCAACCAGGCCCTATACAGTGCAGATCAATGAGCACACAAACAGCCGGTGTAGATACAGACCACCAGGCTCTGGCAATCCAGCTCCAGTGTGCAACCTCCCAAAATCCAGCTCAAGCAAGGCCAGAGAAGAAGACTGAACTTCAGATGGTGCCAGCTGAAGGAGAAAGCGGAAGCAGAGGATCCTCCCATCATCCAGGGAAGAACTTGTGCTTTGGAGACGGGTGGCTCACTCACTCACTCACTCACTCACTCAC